GGCAAGGTAGTTCAGCAGACTAAGCACCTGCTTAGGTAAGCACAAGGACTGGGGTTTGATCCCCAGCACCACATGCCAAGCTGGCCACTGAGCCTGGGTATGGTGTTGCACACCTGTAATCCTAGTGCTGGGGAGGCTGAAAACAGGAGGATCACTATGAGTCTGAGCTGTTCACTACAAGTCCAAGCTGCATAGTGAGACCCTGTACCAAATACATTTAAAAAAAAAAGCAAGAATGGACTGGAAATGAAAACCAGCAAAGATATTACTGAAATTCCTCCCCTGAACTAATATTGTGGAAAATTCCAACAGTAACACGTTTTGGTGACTTATCACTTCTGAATCACTGAGCACTCATTTTAATTAAGCAGGCACATGTATTAAACATCTACCACACTCCCACCATCAGGCTGGCTGCTTGAAGATGGTGACAATTTAGTCCCTGCTCTCTGGCAGTGGCCAGGAGACTGACCCCTTGTTTTATGTCAGATGTCCACAGCTACTTGAGGACAATGACAATATGATGATTTGATGGTGAGGATAAAGAATAAGGAGATGATTCTCATGTCAGGCACAGGGCAAGACACAGAAGATCCTCCTATAGTTTGGGTCCAACCTGTTATCCACCCTTTACTCCGTGCACTACGGTACCTGAACCAAAGAATCACATGGATATTCTGAACACTGAGGAAGATGGTTGCATTTCGATGATGGAAGGAAGGAGATCGACTCCACAGCTCTGGTGGCCTAGTTAAAGCCCAGCACCAAGAGGCCGGGGAGATGGCTCAGTGGAATAAGTGCTTCCCTGGCAAGCGCAAGGGTCTGAGTTCAATCCCCAGTTCTGAGTTCAATCCCCAGTTCCGTAAAAAATAAAATAAAATAAAATAAAAAATAAAGCCCGCGAGGCATCTCTGGCTGGGATTCAGCATCCAGCCCTTTCCGACTGTAGCATCCCAGAGCTGCTGGGATGGCCCTGGCCTCAGGATCCTTCACCAACACACAGGTGGGAGGATGCGGTGCTGAAGGATCCTGCTGCCTACATCACCTCCATTCCTGCAGCACTCTTCTAAGGAGCTTTTTGTCCGTGGGGAGTACAAAGAGGTTGCAGCCCCACGGAGTGGTCACGCTTGATGGTGAAACTTAACAGGGACGGGTGCTTTTAAATGTACTCTTTCAAAAGTGCTGCAACAATTTTGTTGACCAAACTCAGTTGAAGTAACACTGTAAACTTCTTCTCAACTGACCACTTTATTTTGAAGGAAGTGGTAACTCAATAAGCCACAACGCAAACCCAGGCGTTATACAACCCTTTGTAATTTGAACAAGCCCTGTCCCTACGTAACTGAAATGCAGCTCCTACGATCGACAGCAGGTGGCAGCATTTCCTGAGTAGTTTAACGGCTTCAGGGACCCGCCGCGGGGGTGTGCGGAGGGGAAATACCTTCACAACGCTTTGCATGATTACAGATAGGTCCATATGACAGCCCAATAACGTCTATTATGTTTAGAGGTTGCGGGCCTGATCTTTCACATGGGAGCATTTTTCAGCCCTTTTCAACTGCTTCCAACAGCCCTCTGGCTGCGTTTCCTAAGTAAGAGCTAACTGTGCTCACCTGGCCTGCAGGAGCGGCCACCATCAGGGGCGTCAGCATGGAGGCTGGGAACCCCATCTCAGGACCAAGCTTAGGGAGGGGTAGGGATGGAGAAGGGAGAGCAGCCCTCCCAGCCCTGCCTTCGTATTAGGGACCACGGCCTGGCCTGATACGCCCCTTCTCACCTGGAGGCAGATTCTCAGTCTGTGAGGAGTATATTTAAAAATTTTTTAAATATTATAGTGAAAAAAAGACACATTGTCATGAATTCTCCTCACAATGCTGCCCTTGCTTTGAACACTTATCCCATGGTTCTTGCCACTTGCTGAAGCAGCTCTGGAAGTCCTCCTTCCTGTCTGTAGTTGCACCGTAGTGGCTGCCTTCATGTCCTGAATTCATTCCCAGCGTTTACCTCTCACAGTCATTTGGACTTTGGGGAAAAGACTGGAAGGCACACAGTGCCAGATCCAGGGAACAAGGTGGGTGAGGACACATAATGACGTTTTTACGAGCTTCTCTGTCCCCTGGGTGGCCCTCAGCAACATTCATTGTATTTTTGGTCACAATGCATAGACTCATGAAAGAGCACTTGGTGACAGGCTTCACAAAAGGGGAAGGAGGAGGGGATAGACATACTGGAAGCAAGGGGGGAGTACTCTGAGACTTATGGTAATGTGTCTTTTTTTTTTTTTTTTTTTTTTTGCTGAACCGGGGATTGAACTCAGGCCCCTGCACTTGCCAGACAAGTGCTTACTCAACTGAGCTATCTTCTGATCCCGATAATGTGTCTTTTACTGCAATCATTTTTAAAAAAAATTTAAGCATTTACTGATCATCCCTTGAAAACTCTCCCTTTCTCTTCACCTAGCCCTTGGCCATCCAAGGAGTACCTTTATTTGGTGGATAAGGTGGTAAGGGAGGAAAGCTCTATGCTGATCCTACGCAGCCCTGTCTCCTAGTCGCTGCCAGGCTGAGCCCCCCTGCTTTATTCCAGTGAACCCCACCCCATGCGGGCTCCCTGGTCTATCCGGCACTTGTTCTCATTGTATAAGCATGGACAAGTCAGTATGGTGCAGTGACCTCTCTGGGCTAGGCCAGGTTACCAGGGAACACCCGCGGGTGGCCACAGCCTCGGAGACAAGGCTGGGGGGAAAGTTACAAGGAGAAGTCAAGAGACTCTGTGAAGAGAAGTTGTTGGTGGGTGTCTGTTGTAGCACTGCCTGGCACCCCCAGGAAGCCCAGAGTCATAATGCTAGCACGGGAAGCGACCCAGCAAAGTCCCAGCTCAACGGTGCCCATTCAGGGTTCTCATTCCGGAATGAGACCTTTGTTGTGGGGGGAGGTGAGGAATTCTCAGAGCAGACCCCCACCCCTCACCCCCACTTCATCAGAGGTGGCTCTGAGCTTCCGGTTTTCTGACTGGCTTCTGCCTATGAGTTAACAAAAAAGGCTTGGAAGCCATGTGGACTTCAAGTGTCTCACTCTCTGGAGGGGAACCTGCGGGGAACCAGGGGCTTGTGCAAGCTCATGCAGGTGGACTCCGCGTTTGCAGTCAGGATGCTGCTCCCCAAAAAGAAGGTGAGAAAACAACATGGTTGGAGTGGGATTCAGGACCCAGTTCTCTGTGCCTCACGTGCTGGGTTTGGGGATGGCTTCCCATGCTGGAAACGGGACCCACACATCCACACAGGGTGGCTGCGACCGGTGGAGGGCTAGGTGACAGGGGCTGCAGAAGGGGCTGCTGAAGCTGCAGTTAGATAAGGAAAGGAGGGCGGGTGAGTGTGAGGGCTGGAATCTATTAGTGGCGATGATCTATGCTGCCAGCGCCTTTATTACCCTGGCAGCACCGGCTATTTATATCCTAGGGCAATGAGGCCGCCTGTGCGCTCTGGTTTTCTTCCAAGGACCTAACACAATAGCCAGGCTTTTCCAGGATCCGAGGAGCCCTGGGATTTTCTCTCCTTACAACTCTGCCGGGTGGCAGGACAGCCCCTCTGTCCAGGGGCTTCTGCATCCCCATAAGCCCTGGGAAAACAACTTAACTCTTCTAATGCCTGAATCGAGGTGGTAGTAAAGTGTTCTTTTTGCTTTATTTCTCAGGCTTGAAACATCACTGTCTTTAATCAGATCATAAAAGAGAACCAGTGGGAAACAGTAGGGAGAAATCTAGCTTCCAAAGTAAAGCGGGCAGGAAGTCTTAAGGAGACAGAGTCAAAGCCGGTGCACACTTGTGACCTCAGCACTCTGGGAGGCTGAAGCAGGAGGATGGAAAATTCAAGCCCAGACTGAATTTAGTGTGGAAGTGAGTCCCTGTCTTAAAATAAAAGAGAATTGAGGAGGCAGCTCAGCGCAAAGGCCGTGAGGACTTTGCAATCCTCAGTACCCATCCCTGAATATGAAATGGAGACATTCCCTGTATACATTTCAAAGCCTAAAGGTATGATTTTTGGGCTTCCAAAAAAGAGGCAGCGAAAGGGGGAGGGGGAGGGGAAGGAAAGGACGAGGGGAGGGAAGCAGGGAGAAGGAAGAGGACCCATCAGGGCCCACAGTGAGTGCTTACCTCCTCACCATTCTGGCCAGGTTCTACCTTGGGGGGGAAGAGGGGGAGGGAGCAGGGTGGTTTCCTTCTGCTTGGTTTAATGGCTGGTGTCTAGAGGGAGAGTGACAGACAGACAGACAGAAACAGCTAATCAGGCAACAGGGAGGAAGAAGAAGGCCATGAGCCCGCCTCAGGCTTCCCTCCCAGAGCTGCTACCCTGGGCTTCAGGCCCTCAGGCCCTCCTCTCCTATCCTAGCTTACTTGGGACTCCCAGCCTGAATCAGCGCTCACAGGGACGTCTGTAGCCAGCATCTACAGCCAGCATTACGCAGCACCAGCTCCTGGATTGAACTGAGCTACATCCCCAGCCTTTTTTAATTTTTTATTTGAGTCACAGTCTTCCTAAGTCATTATACTGCCCAGACTGGGCTTGAACTTGTGACCCTCCTGCCCCAGCCTCCTACAGGACTGGGATGACACACATGTACTGCCATGTCCAGCTTTGCACTGTCTTCTTCAGCAGGATTCGCAGAGCAGCCTTCCTGACCTCTGGTTGCCCCTGGAATGTGCGTTCCCCTAGGTCCTCTCTTCCTTCTTAATTCTCAGTCCCAACTCTGCCCAGCCTCCCCTGTTCCTGACTCCTCAGCTTCTGGGCAGGAGTCAGGTTTGGAGACTTTGACGACTCCTCTACCTAGAGCCATCTGGGCTCTTCGCATGGAGGATAAAGGTGAAAGCAAATCTGCACTGCCTCCTAGTTGCTGGCCTCGTTGCTCCCTGCCCAGGCTCCAGGTCCCCCTGACTAGCACTGTCAGCTCCCCTGGTTGGGCAGGGTTCAAGCTACAGCGAGTGGCCCACTCCTCACATTCGAGGGGACCCTCTGAAGTCTCTTCCTAATCCTGTCACTCCCAAACCTCTTTCCTCCTGCTTCCCCACCAGACCTCCCTCCCTGCAGCCCACAGCAGACACACCTCCACCCCCAGCCTCACCTCCTTGGCCACAGCTGCCTGCTCCCGGAACTGCCCGGCCAGCTGGGCCACCGACGGGGGTGCCGAGCTGTCCACGCCGGCATTGGACTCTGCAGGCCTCTCCTGGCAAAGCAAGGTGAAGCAAAGGTTAATCAACATCTCAGCTCTTTCAAGGGTGGAGTCTAGGGGCTGAGAAAGGACTTGTTTTGTGGCCAAGCAGGAATGCCATGACAGCTGGCTTTTGGGATCCCCCACATACTGGAAATCAAACCCAACTCTGTTGGATGTGCTGCTAAGTGGGAAAGAAACATCACCCAGATGTTCTGACCCGGGTCCTGCGGCCCGCAGCTGCTGCCACTGAAGTCCAACCCATCCCGGCCTGTGCACCAAACACTGAGTTCATGTGGGATCTCTAGAGGCCAGCTTCCCCCGCAGCACCCACCCGAGCCAGTATCCATCTGGGTAGGGTCATCCAGCCCCACCTGTTTAGCCCTAACACTTGCCATGACGCCAACTATGCCCTCCTGGAACACTGCACAGGCGTCAGACCACGCGTGGTGACTGGCGCCACTCCTGGCAGAGACACTGGGCTGATGGGTTGTCCATCTGTCCAGCTGGGTGCCCTCGTAATAGATCAGCCTCTGCCCTCTGCTATTTATTGCTGGCTTCTTGCTGACAGTGCGCTCCATTTCAGCGTCCCTGGGGCCCATCTCTAGTGCAGAGAAAGACACTCCAGTTAAAAATAAAGTATGGGGCCCAGCATGGCGCACACGCCTGTAATCCTACCACTGCAGAGGCTGAGGCAGGAGGACTGCCATGAGTCTGAGGCCTACCTGGGCTACATAGTGAGTTCAAGGCCAGCCTGAGCTCATAGCAAGACCCTGTCTCCAGAAAAACAAAAACAAAAAAACAAAAAGCCTGTGTGGTAGGAACGATGGTGCTACAGCTGAGTTTGTTTGCCTGGAGCCCAGGGAACGGGTTTTCTTAAGGCTATCTACAGCCTCCAGGGTTGATTAAACCCAGACAATCCCCTCACCACTGCCCCAAGCCGGACACTTCTTGTCACAGGCTGCACAAAACTAACTCAGCAGGCTACAGGCTCAGTCTGTAGCCTGCTGGGCACACGGAAGCCCAGAGAGGGCACATGACTTCACTGGTGACACCAAACAGGACAGACTGGGAAGCACCTGACCAACATCCCATAACCTGGGAACAGCTCCCATACATGGCAGGACTTCTGAAAGTGCCTTGGAAACTGCAAGGCCCTGCACACACCTGGAAATAGCCTCAGTCACCGGGTCACACAGGTGCAAAGGAAGAAGCTGGTCTGGGACGGACAGGCTGGTAGCCCAGGCTCTGGCAGGCTGAGGCGGTCAGTTATGGGAGGACCTGCCCACCAGTCCCTGGTGCCTCCAGCTTTTGCTGAGAGCACGAAGCCTCCCCAGCATTCCAAGGTCTTAGTACTTAGCACAGGGTCTGAGCTGTCAGATGCACTCAGTGGAGGATGGCTCCTCCTCTGGTCCCCCAACCCTGTCTGGGGCCTAGCAGCTGCTCCTACCCGAACCCTGAGCCCCTGCGCTCAGCACTGCGGGCCACAGCCCACTACAGCCCAGCCCAGCACCACTTGGTGGCCCCCTCTCTCTGTGTCCTTGATTGCTGGCCTCTGTCCACCTTCCAGGGCCCAGATCTTGCTTTTCCTCTTCCTGGCAACCATGCCAGCTTGGTTGTCAGCCTGGAGCCCACCCCCACAAGCCAGGAGAAAGTGACTTCTCCCCATTCCTCTGGAACTTGCTTCTGAGAGCCTTGAGGCCCAGCTGCCCACACCTTTCTCCTCAGTCAAAGTCTAAATGTGGCTGAGCAGCCCTTACTCTTGGCCAAAAGGGCAGACACCAAGGACAGGCCAGGGGACCCAGAGGCTCCAAGAGATGGGGACGCCTACTTCCTTCATCCTCCATGACCAGAGAGGGTCTTGGATAGTCATGTCGGGTTCTTAGCCCAGGCCAAGTCAACTGACCCTCCTGGAAAAAGTGCTTCTCATACATCACTGCCCAAGGACCAATGACCCAGTGCGCCCTGCTGGGATGACCATGCTTCCTTTGGCCATGGGAGTATCCACGGAAACATCTTGTGTTTCCTTCTGAGTGGAAGGGACACTAGTTGAGGGGCTCCAGGAGACAGTGTGTGTGTGTCTGTGTGTGTAAGGAGGCTCTGGAGGTGGGTGTGTGGGGAACTATGGATGCACCTCGGTTTGGCCACAGCATGGAAGATGCTTCCCGAGATGCGCCTACCATTTTCTCGGAGGGCTTGTTGCAGAGGCCCAGAAAGTTGGGATGTGGCTTAGATACTGGAGCAGAGATGCAGCACAGGCACTGAGCACACACCCAGGTCTGGAACCCGAAGCCATGTCTGACTTAGAGGTGGCTGAAGTCACCGGACTGGACCAACCAGGGGAACACAGATTAAGGAAGAAGGCGCTCTGGGGCAGAGCTCCACTAGGCCTCTTCCGCTCTCCAACAAGGTGATGCGCACCCCTGCCTTCCCCAGATGTGTGTGGCCTGAAGACGGGATGGGCTGGGGCCAGAGATGTCTCTGGTGAACATCGGGGAGAGCAGGAAATGCTGCATTTTGTATAGAAGTACCGTGCCCCCACCCCCGCCGTTGGGCCATTCGCTCATCCCTCCCGGAGCATCTCTAGGCATTGCTGACAGCACCCTGTAGCAGGGATAGGTGAGGGGAGGTGGGGGAGGGGGGAAGAACAGTAAAGAGTACGTACAGCAAATAAACAGCAGAGTATATGTGAACATTTCACCCAAGATCAAAGGGGTCCTAAATATCTCCTACCTACCACTTGTCAGACTTAAGGGTGTTGTCATAACAGATCCAAGCTCTCTGCAGCCCTCTCCCACAGCCCTGAAGGCACCCATTAACCAAAGAGCTCACAGGTGCTGGCTGGGGTGCCCCCATCACCCCCAGGACTTGATGCTGCTGCCCAGCAGCCCCTCAGCCTTCTCTGCTTCCAAGGTTTTAACGTCAGCACAGTACACAGCTTCTGGGGCCCGAAGGGTCTCCCGGTGTGAGTGGCTGGGTTTAGGGGTGAGGACACAGGCAGAGTCAGTATCCAGCTGAATGCCTGGGTAAACATGGTAGCTAATAGACAAGTAGGGGAATGTTCATTTGCCTTGTCTTTTTTTAAAAAAAATCTTTTATTTATGCATTTATTTGGTATAGGGTCCCGCTACACAGCTCAGAGTCCTAGTGATCCTCCTGTCTCACCCGCCCCAGTGCTGGGATTACTGGCCTGTACCACCACACCCAGTTTTGGTGGCCGGCACGGTGGCATGGCATGCAGTACCATGGATCAAACCCAGGTCCTTGCACTTCCCAGGCTGGTGCTTAGACCACCGAGCTATCTCCCCAGCCCATCTGCCTTGTCTTTAAAGTAACAGGCTCCATATCTTGATTTCAGAGGTGATGTGGTGACATTTCTTTATGAAACCTGGAAACTGTTGCCCCAACAAAAGAAAGGCAATCATTCTGAGAGCAGCAGGTTAGGGACATACAGAAGTCAGATGTCATAGCCACACATCTGCAGTCCGATCTGGGCTGCAGTCTTGCCTCTGACGTCCACTGCATGAGAACCTCGGCTGGACTTTGGCCTTACGTGTGCCCCAAGACTCATGGGTCGAGGCTTGGACCCCAGCCGGGGGGTACCTCTGCAAAGGATAATGGGCTGCGGCCCCTCCTCTCTTTGCAGCCCAGCTGCCACGAGGTGAATGCCTGCCGTGGCACACCTTGCTGCCACCAGCCCAAAGCCGCAGGCCAATCGACCGTGGAGTGAAGTGTCTCTGAAACTGTGCACCAGAACAAACCTTTCCTCCTTGATTATCTCAGGTGTGGATTATAACAACAGAACGCAAACACAATCTTGCTGAGCCTGTTGCCTCATTATTAACATCCATCACTCTCTGCACCTATCCAACACGCAAACACGCATCTTGGCTTTGGAGGATGCATGGCCACCTCCCACGGGCAGCAGGAAGCTGACTCAGAAGCTCAGGATTCCAACAGGACTCAGAATGAGTCCTGTCTATGTCTGGGCGCTGGTTAGATTTGGAAATATAGATACAAAGGTTCACAGTCGTGGAGCTCAAGGAGTTTTTCATCAAACTGAAAGGCAGACTTACAGCACATGGTGAAAAGAAATAGAAGCGTGGATGAAGGGGCACTTAGTCTGCTTGGATCGGACACATTGGATCAGCCATTTGATTTGAGGAAAAAGAAACAATACATACACCGGGGGAAACATAGCTTCTTCAATAAATGGTTCTGGGAACACTGGTTATCTACATGCAGAAGATCAAATCCAGATCGATGTATTTCACCATGTGTTAAATGGGTCAAAGACTTAAATGCTGAAACATATACTTAACTCTGCTGGAAGATAAAATAGGGAGAACCCTTAAAGACATACATCTAAGCAAGGACTTTCTGCTTAGAACCCCCCTAGCAAAAGAAATAACACCACAAATCAATAAATGAGATCGCATCAAAGTAAAAAGCTTGGGCACATCAAAAGCAACAACAAACAGAACGAAGAGACAACCCACAGAATGGGAAAAAAACATTTGCCAGCTATTCCTGGATAGAGGACTAATATCTGGAATATATAAAGAACTCAAAAAATTAAACCCCCCCAAATAAAATATTCAATCAAAAAATGGGCAACTGAAGTGAACAGAGATTTTGCTGAAGTACAGATAGCCAATGAATATGTGAAGAAATGTTTAGCACCATTGGCCAGTAGGGAATGCAAATCAAACACGGAGATTGCATTGCACCCAGGAAAGAATAACTATCGTTAAGAAATCAAATGATGGGCTGGTGAGATGGCTCAATGGTCTAAAGCACCTACTTAGAACAAGCTTAGCAAAGCATAGGGACCGCGGTTCAATCCCCCAGCACCACATGCCAGCCAGCCCCGCCTACTGGTGGGCTGAGCTGGCCACACACACACACACACACACACACAAATAAATAAATAAAAAAAAAAGAAATCAAATGATTACACATGCTGGAGAGGCTGTGGGGCACAAGGAGCGCTGCAACGTTGTTGCTGGCAGTGC